GTGACAGTCTCATTGTCACACGTCGGCTCGAACTATGAGGTTGAGTGAAAATCACTCCTCATAGTTCTCCTTTAAGGTAAGTCCTCAATGCAGGCAGTGCTACTAACTGGCTTCCTCTGCCTGAGTATGTATTCAGTAGCATGTTCTGCACACACACTTGCCGGATTTGAAGAGAAACCCCCCCCCCCCCAGGGGAGTCAGAGGGTGATATTCTGCCCTTTACTGCTGGCCAAAGCATTCTGGGGAAATGGCGATTGTATGGGTTAGAATCCCTCATTGGATTATAAGCCAACTCCAGAAGTTTCCTGCAGTGCACTTCCCACCTCCCCTGCGTAGACCGAATACATATCTTTGCCCAAGCTTACTGTTTGTCTTTAGGAATCCACCATTAGACTCCATGGTATATATGGGCGGGCAGATTGTCTGACAGTCCTATGGACACCCAAAGGCTGTGTTTTTATCAGCAGTTGTTAGTTGGTTATCAACTTTCCTAATATAGGGCTAAGCTGAGCACTACTGTAGAAGGCTTTTACCATTTCTGCATATAGAAAACATCATAACTTAAGGTGAGCATTGTGTGTGCACCTACCAAACTACACCATAGTTTTACCTGTAGGCATACTAAAGGCCTTATAATCATAACACATGTGTGAGGGATTTTCAGGTATCAAAAACACAACTGAAGATCAATGCATTTGAGTACTACTGTAGTCTCCACGGAAGCTAGCTGGCAGACTAAAGGTCTTAAATATCTCATATATTAATTTCTAAACAAGTGTCTCCTGGTGCCTGCACGTCATTTGAGATCACCTCTGGTGGGACTTGGGAGTCTCATACACGAAGGCCCAATGATATGCACATTCCTGTGCACCTTTCTATTCATTACTAAGGCCACACAGTGATGGGTTGTGAGGCACATGAGGTGGCAGAGCAGAGCCATTGACCACAGACGGTGGTTAGTCGCTATTTGCATATCCCAGTTCTCTGCTGTTTTGGGTTCCTTTTTGCTCTATAGGAAATCTATAATGACAGCAAGGCACATGGACATTGCAGCTATTAGTAGACGTTCACCACCCTCAGTATGCCCACAGGTTTACTATAACTTAGCTTTGTGTCATCTACATGGAAAACCCAAAGTTTCATTTCTCTACACCCCTGCACATTTCTCCAAGACTGCTTTTTTTTTTTTTATAAATAAGAAAAGGAATCATGACATTGTAGAATACATTATAGTGTTTATTGGTGTTATAAAAGGAAAGAGAACATTAATATAAAATTAGTCGGTGGCACAAAGAATTAGCTCGTTTTATCAGCTCTTCAGCATTGTAACATTGTTTTATATTGTTAAAATCCACTTTGCAGACCTGTGATCAACATACACATGTTATGCATGAGATAATGGTCCCCGACACATCCACCGAAACTCAGATACTTCACCGAGCTCCAACCGAGCTCCAACAGGCTGATCAGACAGACCAAAGAGCAATCTGCAAGTGAAGTATCCTATAGCTACCAGGATTTCTTTTTCTGGGTGACTGCATTCTGTTAGTACATTTTGCACATGATCATTAACAAAATTAGTAACATGATATACGTGAAACATCATACAGCCAAACACTGCCATACCACCTCCCCCAATCCACAGTGTCTGTATGGTTTACTATGGCTGTAGCTACTCTCTTGGTTTGAGGCTTTGTAGACATTAAAGTAGAACTGAAGCCAAAACTTTTTTTTGTTTTAGTTTTGGATAAGTAAGGGCGGGTTACAACTGCTGTCAGCTTTTTTGCCGTCTGTGCCCAATTGGGAAGATTTCTCTTTACTTCCTGTCCGAACAGGAAGTGAGAGAAAATCCCTCCGAAATGAGGGAAATCCCTGGTGGTCTGCAAGGTCACCAGAACTAGTGTCCCTATTGGAAGATCTCGCATCTATTCCTGTTCTGATGACAACCCAAAATGTGGGATCTTCTTTCAATTTCAGTGATAACGGTCCCCAGGACAAATAGTGATGTGAACCTCCCTAGCGGGGATACAGACAGCATTGAAAACCTGACAGGGGTTTCCATCCCTCTCTTTATCCAAAGTTTAAAAAAAGTTTTTTAAGATTATAATTTATTAAACATTTATGTGTAGCCATAAAGAACAAAATAAAAAGCATAGCAAAACCAGTCCGTAACATTAAGGGTTTGATAAAACAAATTTGTTTTGTAAGATTTAATGAAAAGCCCAGAAATCTTTATTGAAAGAGGACCTGTCACTGGCAGCAGCAGGGCTGGATTTTTACTTCCTGCCCCCCTAGGCCAACTCTCTCCTACCCTGGTCACATGCACTGCAAAAAATAAAAACTGTCAGGACAGCAGCCTGAAACCTTTTATAACAAACGGGAATGTGTGATTGACAATCTGTAACATGGTGTGTAGGTGGCTGTGTGTCACCCCTGGTGTCCGTGCTGCCCTAGGCCATGGCGGATATTGACAGTGAATGAACACGGCACCTGGCAGCGTCATTGAAGTTCAGCGTTGTGAAGAAGAATCAGACACTGTAGACATTTTTATACCTTTTTATAGTCATGCTGTTGTTGAGAAACGGGCCATGGAAAATAAGCAGCTTGATGCAGTAATATATAATGTTTTGTTATATATGTATTTAGGATGTTCCACACCAAAATATTAAAAACTTTAGTATCTTTTTTTTTTTATGTTTACTGCTTGCAGTCATCAGGTGGTGAACTTCAAGTTAGAGTACTGGCTTTCTGAGGCTTCTTTCCATACCTGTTCTTTGAAAAAGGCCAAATTAGCAGTCAATCTCAGATTACAAACGTCATAAGGATTAAAAGGAGATCCTTTCCCTGTATCCCGTCATCCCTGTTCCTTTCTCCTAGCAGAGGGGGGACTGTATGGTTTAGATAGTTATACAAAGGCTACCAACAAGCAAACACATAGTGCTGGGCTTTCTTATTTCTTATTAGAAAGCCCAGCTTGCTTTACAAGTTGTTTGACACAGATGCAACCTTTTTAAAATGTGTATTTGTACAAAAAAGATTTTATATAAATAATTATAATTAATTACAAGTAAAAACAATCTGAAACACATTTACAAACTTGCAAATGTCAATATGTATTAAATAAAATTGACTAAAAGCCATTATAGTTTCAGTTTAAAGAATTTCTTTGCTGGCTAACCGTCAGTACAGCTACTACCGAGAGACACATGTCACACTGACTGTCATAGTGACCCTTTGGCTTCAACACTTTAAGTCACTAACGTGGAACAAATTTGCAGGTAAAGAACTTTGCCAGCTGTGAATATTAGTTCTTCATCAATGACTCAGAAAGTATGTCAGCCAGTAGGACAGTATTGCAGCAAAGCAAACATTTCAGAAGGAGGCAAGCCCTACGTGTCTTATCCACAAAGGATCACTCCTTTCCTGTGCTGTAAGCCGCCATTACTGCAATTGTCTTCTATGGGTGGCTTGGAAGTCAGTATGGCCATAATGCGATCTGCTGGCAACCAACAAGGAGATTCAGAACAGGACACCTCTCACATGACATAACATGGGCTGGATAAACTCCAAGAATAGAATTGACTACATAGCTGTACAAGTACCCGGTCAAAAATAAAAAGCTCACTCCGTATCGCTAACCAATAATATGGTAGCCAGTTGATTATATGGTGGCTTTGATTATAATTGTCAAAGGCCAACAGAACCTTCAGTTTAAATCAGCAAAATACATTCCATGTGTAACGTGCGCCAATTCTTACAGCATGCCTGTAAGTCATGCCAGTCAGCCAGTCAGTCATGTAAGTCATGCCAGTCAGCCAGTCAGTCATGTAAGTCATGCCAGTCAGCCAGTCAGTCATGCCTCAGTAGAAAAGCCTGTCACTTGGCAGCATGCTTTAGAGAAGGACTCTTGCTCTTGCAGCAGTGGTCTCTCTGGAGAGGTCCAACGTGCTGTTTTTTTCTTCATAGATTTCTCTCTCTATGCTGTTACAAACAAACGTATTTAGATTGGTGAGCCTCAAATCTCCGACACTTTGGCAGACATTTACAAAGAATCAGGAGCTGTCAGCACCGCTCTGTGCTGCAGTTGAATATTCCAAATGTCTGCACCTACACTGAGTATTAAATGGCTGAAACATGTCTCAATTTTGACCAGCTGTCTGTCCACATGTTGGTGTTTTTTTGGGGGGGTTACTGTTTTTTACTGTTAACTAGATTATGTACAGTAACCTACAGTCAATGCAGCACAAATCCTGTAAATACATTCACCCGAAAGAACTCCGGAGAGGAATTATTAACCCTTTCAGTGGGGATACCACAGCACTGCAAGGGTTAAGTGCTCTTTTTTTGTCTAGGTTCAAAATGTTAAAAGTATACTCATCTGAACCTCTGAGCCGGCTTGCATTTAGACCGGTCCCTCCCACCTCGCTTCCCTCTGTTGCGGCGGTCTAAGGCCCCTGAGTCATCATGTTCTATACACAGTGTATAGGATGTGAGGATGCCGTGGGACATACCATTGCTGCAGTTGTAGAGGAGGCTGGAGGGAGCGCTGGATCTGAGTTTCAGGTGAGTATAACTTCATTTTTTTTAACCTAGACACAAACAAACACTTAACCCTTGCAGTGTGGGGGTAGCCTCACTGAAAGGTCCAATGTATTGTGATGTTTTAGAGCATGATGAGAACCTCTGTTGGGTTTTTACTTCCATCTGGTGCTCCATTACATTAATGTACCCGCAGGAAACTGTTATTTCTGCAATATGAAATCTGCAACAGGGACACAGACAGCAATACAAAGCTGACAGGGATTGTAGCCTTCTACTAATCTACAAAATAAAACTTTGTTTTCCCATCAATTTGGAGTTTTCTCCTAACTTCCTGTCTGGTAAAGCATTTAAGCAAAGGAGGAAGTTAGGCAAAAACTCTTTAAAAGAGCCCCTGGCAGGAGTTCTAACCCTTCCCCACTCATTAAACTAAAAAAGTTTTGGATGAACATACACTTTAACACCTCTAGATTGTAGCTCTGTTTCTGAAGGAAGTTCATATATAGAATTATTCAGCATTAACTATTTGCTGGCTTTACAATGTTGATGCTGCATGCTCAGCAATGCGTTGTACAATGTTCTAGACTGCAGATGTTACATGAATACTGTAGAAAATAAATGGTTGTATCAGTTTCCAAAAGTCTTGACGTTGGTCTCCTCATTTTTGTGAATGCATTGTTCTGTTAACAAAACAAAAAAAGTAATAATAATAATAAATAAATGTATGTATATATATTAATCTGTTTACCAGAAGATGAAAAAGTTTCTATGTACAGACACCATTTCCCTATTTCTGTCACAAAGCAAAACACTTGTATGGTTAGGCTGTGCAGAAAGCAGCCATTGCCCGATTCATGTACCTCATCCTGGTTTGGGGGTGACAAATAGGTTTGACTTTGCTGACACATAACTGCTCCGTGAATGGCTGCATCTGTCAGTGTAATACTGCAGTAATTTGTGATATGTTTCCTTAAAGTTACAGTCGGGGGCATTGCTAGATCCTGGCAATAGGGATAAGCTCATGTTTGGAACGAACCCGGTCTGAACCTCAGCTCCTCCTCTGAACCTGGAAGAAGCTCCTCCCAAACACGAAAGGAAGCTCCTTCCATGCCATCCACCACCAGCTGCAGGTAGGCAATTCCCCGCCTGCAGCTTGACATAAGCAAAAGGGCGGGATTCAGTGATGCCATTTACCTTATATGGCTACATGCCTAAATTTGGTAAATTACATTTACCTAATATGGCTATGTTCCCATATAAGGTAAATTACATCAACACAAGCGTCCCACCCAATCGTTTACATGCAGCTGCAGGGTGGGGGATGCATGGCCCAAAGCTGATTGGGTGGAATGGCCCAAGGCACTTCCTTGTTCTGAGGAGCTCCAGTTTAGACTAGGTACAGTCCGAACCTGAGCTCATCTCTACCTGGTACCCAGAGCACATGCCCCACCTAACCCCTACCCTGCCCCGGCCTTAACTCTGCCCCTAAACACACCCTCTTAAATTATTTTATGAAATTACACCGTTAAATGTTTTATGCAGAATAAAGTTACAAACATAAATATTAACAACAACAAATGTAACAATATTACCATAAAGCAAAGTAAACATTGTTGCCGCCCACATATAAAATAATACACTCTCCCCCCCACATATAAAATAACACACTCCCCCCCCACACATAAACTAATACACTCCCCCCCACATAAATTAAAATACAGAGCCCCCTCCTCTGCTTGCCTTTTTGCAGGAAGGAGGCGAGCAGGCACAATCCCTGGTGATCCAGTGGTGCTTAGTAAGGTCTGCTGCAGTAATCGATACTTTCGGCCAGCGCTCAGTGAAGAGCACCGACCAAAAGGAACAGATCCAGCACAGCCAGGAGCAGTTTCTCCCCCAAGTCAGGTATGCGGTCCATGACCGTGGCCCTGACTGAATTTCCACCGCCAAATGCAAGCAGGCGAGTGGAAATTTTGAGCCCTGCTATAGATTGGAGTTATTGGCAGGGGATCCCTGAGAACTGAAAGTTATTTCAAGGGTTCCTCCATGTTAAAAAGGTTTAAAAAAAAAAAAAAAGAAGCTGGACTAGAAGATGAGGAGGCAACAGAACCCTGTGTTCCATGCCCCAGTACACATAATATTCAGACAGCACTATGCAAAGCTATAGAGCCCCATTTGCTCAGAATACTATCCCTTCCTCGCCCAGAGTCCAGCTCAGTATAGGCTTACAGAAATATATAAAAAAGAAGATTATAAGAGGCTTTAGCTAAAACATGTATAATATTATTCTTAATTTATATGTATCTACATTAAGTTGTATCTTTTACTGTCTTTTAATGCCTGCAGCTGGTTAACTTTGTGTTCCCATGTGGTGAAACTTGCCAGCAGGACTTCCTCACTGTAGCCAAAACTAGAAGCAAGATTTGGCTTGATAGACATACTTTTAATAACTTTTCAACTACTTAGGTTTCCCCTCCTGTTTGTGCAGCATATAATGGATATCTGCAGGTCCAGAGGTTTAATTACCTGGTGCTGATGGATCTGTAATCACTTCAGTTGGATGACCTCTCCTTTATAAGGCTGTCTTTGTACTGGAAGTGGCTGACATACCTGTACAAACATATTGTCATTACAGAAGTGATGAGATGATAATTCTCTCCTTTATTTTACAAATTGCTACACACGCTGAATTTCTCTGCAGTCACAAACACAGATGAGGACATTAATGAGACTCCGCTCCACAGGTCCGGCTCTGCCATTTCTTTTTATTAAAAGAGAAAGAAGCAAACGGAGAAATCATGGAACGCGTTCCCTGGCTACCTTCCAACTCTGAAAGATGGAACGTTGGTACAGTTTGTCAGTGACTGCTGGAGTTACACATAATATATATATACAGGTGAAACTCGAATAATTAGAATATCGTGCAAAGTTCATTTATTAACTAATAGTAATAAATGGATAAAGAGGAAGGATAGAAGGCAATAAATAGTAGCAGACACCCAAGAGATATTAAAGGAAGCAAGAAAAAAGAGGGAAGAAAGACAGGAATGATGGAAAGGTGAAGTAGGCAAGGCAGATAGAAAGAAAGAAAGAAAGAAAGAAAGAAAGAAAGAAAGAAAGAAAGAAAGAAAGAAAGAAAGGAGGGAGGGAGGGAAGGAATAAGCAAAAGGAAGGAAGGAAAGCAAAGGACTGAAGAAGAAAAGTGGGAAGGCAGTAGGAATGAAGGAAGGAGGGGAGATGGAAAGGAAAAGGAAAAGGCAGGCAGTAGTATGAAGGAAGGAGGGGAGATGGAAAGGAAAAGGAAAAGAAAAGTGGAAGGAAGGAGGGAGGGAGGGAAGGAAGGAAAAAGGAGGCAAGGTAGATGGGAGGGAAGGAAGAAAAGGAAGGAGGGAAGAAAAGAAGGAAGACAGGATGGAAGAAAGGAGGGAGCGAAGGAAGGAAGGCAGAAGTAAGGAAAGAAGGAATGAAAGAAAGAAAAGGATGGATGAAGGGCGAAAAGAAAGAAAGGAGGAAGGAATAAAAGAAGAAGAAAGGAGGGAAGGCAGTAAGGAAGGATAGAGGGGAGATGGAAAGGAAAAGGAAAAGAAAAGTGGAAGGAAGGAGGGAGGGAGGGAGGGAAGGAAGGAAAAGGAGGCAAGGTAGATGGGAGGGAAGGAAGAAAAGGAAGGAGGGAAGAAAAGAAGGAAGACAGGATGGAGGAAAGGAGGGAGCGAAGGAAGGAAGGCAGAAGTAAGGAAAGAAGGAATGAAAGAAAGAAAAAGAAAAGGATGGATGAAGGGCGAAAAGAAAGAAAGGAGGAAGGAATAAAGGAAGAAGAAAGGAGGGAAGGCAGTAAGGAAGGATAGAGGGGCGAAGGAAAGGAAAAGAAAGGAAAAGTGGAAAGAAGGAAGGAAGGGGAAGGGAAGAGGGAGGAAACGTAATAATGCAAAACATGGATAATCATCAAATATATAATAATAGTTTTAGACGGAGCGCTGTTGAAATGGCATTTATAAAGCAGACGTAACTCACATGCCTCATCCTTGCACTCCATTGTACATTGATACTGGAATACATTTCTTACATAGTAATGTATATACAGAATACTAAATTCTATTTCCTGGCTGAAGGGGACATCATATACATCCCACAATCCAGAATAACTGGTGCTCGTGTCAGTCCGTGAACAACATTGTGCTGTCAGAATGAATGACAGATCGTTGGCCAGGAGGTATAGCGAAGTCTTAATAGCTCAGTTTTTAATATTTAAAATCTTTTTTGGCGAGTCATATTCGTGATTAGATTTATAGCTGCACTTCGGATGAATTGTAACAGTCGCATAGTTGTAGTGGATACAAGGACTCTTAATGGTAATGGAAAACCTGATCTTCAACCTGATTACTAACTTAAGGAGAATGGCAGACCTGAAGGCTGCATACAAGGGATCTCGGCAACATCGCCGAGATCACTTGTACAAAACAAGCAGAGGCTTCCCGGTTGTACATTTAGCTTTTCTTGCCTAAAGCAGAGCTGAATGCAGAAAACAACTACCCGCCCGGCATCTAGAACTGCATGTCCCGGGCATCGGGAAATAGGAATTCCACACCGCTGCTGCCCCTCTACTCCCTGCTGCCCCAAGGCCGGGCCCTGGGGAAAATCTGGCCCTGATGACCACTGAAAATAAAGGCTAAAAAGGGGTATTCATCCACTTATTTTTGGATTGCATGTTTATTGTGGGCCCTGCTAGAACAGTGATAGAAGTGATAATGGTTTACATATCCTTTAGCTGGATTGAACAGCAACTCGTAGTGTACAATACAATGACTTTGTGTTGACTTACCTCATCTCTTTTTAGGATACGGCTGTAGACATAGTCAGGAAACGGCTTGCGTGGAATGTATTTTCCTTGGCCTGGAACTGCGTGCAAGACACCGTTCTCGTACACTACCCTCCCGCCGGCAATAGTCACCAGAGGTACTCCGTGGCAGACCATTCCTTCAAATATATTGAAGTTCACAGCCTGGTGGTGGGTTTTAGCAGAGATAGTCCTGTAAATATTCCAAATATATGGTAAGTTCTATTCATCAGTAACATCGGTGACAAAGTGCTGACCAATATTCATCTCCATTAAAGTAAAAATCAATTCAATGATAATGCTACTTAGGAAACTTGGCAACTTGCAGGGAACTAAAGCTGCATTTTATGAAATCCTTTGTAGGCAGAATGAATATCTTTCTTGCGTCACGTCTGGCTTGAATTGCAGCCATATAATTCTGTGCTGTGCTATCTCCCTCTCTTGCTGCGCTGTGTACGGTAAAGTATGCAGTGGATTAAAACACAGGCAGGTCCTTAGAACCCGGAAACACACTAATCTATCATTTCATTGGCCTTTCAAAAAAAAAGAATCACTTGAAAAAAGAAAGTGTTTGTATCCCAAAGCAGCAGAACATCCTGGAGTGACAACACCGCTCTTCCATGGAGTACAGTGAGTGATAGCTGTCACCCAAGGACATGAAGGATACTTGTAGGATCACCAGGTAAATATACAAGTAAAAAAAGACTTAAAAAAGAAAACGAATACAGCCTCCTCATCCAAGGACTGGTAATATGCAATATATTACATTTTCATGTTACGTATACATACACTTTTTTTTACATTTTTGTACAGAATCCGCATTAAAATAGTATTAAGCGCTGAAACTTTTTTTCAATAATAAATCCACATCAAATATACATTTTCCAAGTATTTTTTTTTAAACATTTTGCCAGCACACTCAGCAGCCAGCATGCAAAAAAACAACCCTTCTAACCGCTAAGGTTAAAAACAGAGGTTTTAGATACACGTCTTCTGCAGAATATGTGGAAGCCTCACTGCCTCTTCAAGGCACCTCTATATAGTGCGGTCCTAACTCTAACTTATGAGAGTCTTCATCTTGGAGCACATGTAGCAAAAGATAAAATTGGGTGCAGTGACACACTGGGGGTCTCAGCTGTCGTTGTGATGTGCGGGGTCCCTTGTGTGTCCCTGTGCCTTTAAGGAGGTTGGGCTGCCTCCTGGCGAACCTGGCCCCAATTTTATCTTTTGCTACATGTGCTCCAAGATGGAGACTCTCATAGGTTAGAGTTAGGACCGCACTATATAGAGGTGCCTTGACGAGGCAGTGAGGCTTCCACATATTCTGCAGAAGGCGTGTATCTAAAACCTCTGTTTTAACCTTAGCGGTTAGACAGGTTTTTTTTGCATGCTGGCTGGTGAGTGTGCTGGGAAACTTTTTGCTGTTGTGTGTTTGTAGAGACACACGCAGCTTACTAGTACACACAAGGGTGTCTCCTTAGGAAACTGCAAGGAAAAGGAGCCCTGCTACGACAGGATATCAGGGCCAGCGTTCAGGGGACCAGCTGATCCTGCATGAAGCTAAAGCTTTTCAACATCAAGAAGCAGCGTCCATTGTAAGTGATTTCATCAGCATGTGAAATGGCTTAAACACCTTTTGACTTCAATATCACTTTAACTGATGGGATATGTTGCCACTAGTTGAGTTGGGCTTTGACTTCAGATATGAGGGTCACATTTACCACATGCATATGAATTATCTGTAACTGTCTGTGCATCACAAGCAACAAAACTGTTTTGCATTTTCATTCTCTACTCAGGATCCGAAGACTGAAAGACGTTCATATTGGTTGCTATAGGAAAGGAATAATAAATGAGGTTCCGTTGTACCAGGTGAAAGAACGATCCGTAAATGATAGAAATCAAATTCCATTTTTTTTATAGCGCAGGATAACAAAACATGATTTGTGAGCGGTTGTGACTGTTTCCTGAACTTTGACGCACTGAGTACATTTGCAGAATGCGTCATATGGCTGAGTTCTCCATTTCTCAGACACTTTGATGAACCTCCATGATAGATCTGTACCGGATCTGAAGACATTGTGTCCCCGTTGATAAATCTAGGTCAATACACTCGACGCTGCTTTACCTTCTCCTCGGAAATGTTCTCGCCTTTGAAATATCACTGCCTTATTTTGCCTTTAACCTTTTTTCTGATTGCACAAACAGTCTGAAGGGATTACTGCCACTCCGGACACATTTAATGGTGTTAAACTCTTTTCATTTATAAGCGGCTGTGTCGGAGCTGGATACAGATGCCGCCGGGATGTTCCGGTGTGCACTTGATGAAAAGTGGCAGGACGCACGGCGCCTGCAAACATGGTGACAAGTTCTTCTAGATGGGCAATGACTCTTACCTGGGCTAACGCACGTCAACAGCGGCAAATGATCTGCAGACAGTTTCCTGAGCAATGGGCGAGGGGGGGCTATGTGTAAAGCTACTGGGAGCTACAAGTAGAATGAATCTGTGATTGGCTAATGGCCATCCAGTACACACAGTGCTGTGCTAAAATCAGAAAACTCCACCCAGTTAAAGTAGTATTAAACTCTCAAACGTTTTTCAGTAATTAATTCATATTAAACAAATATACATCACCCTGCAAAATATTTCTGTATATTTTCACCCATTCACTTACAGTCCCCGTGTTTCTGAACAGCTCCAACTCTCTCAGCTCCACTTCCTTGAACTTCCTGTCCAGTGCAATATCGTAAGGGACAGCACAGTCTCCAGCAACTATCCACCGACTAGCTTGGAGAAGGGAGAAGGGGTAGAAAGGAGCAGAGGAGTGCCATGCCTGTGTTTTTGGAGACACACACGCACAGCTCACTAGCACACACAAGGGTGACTCCATAAGACCCTGCAAGGGAAAGAAGCCACCCTAAAACAGAATATATGGGCCAGTGCTCTGATTCTGCAGGAAGCTAAAACGTTTAAACATCTAGAAGCAGCACCCATTGTAAGTGATTTCATCAGCATGTCAAATAGATTAAAAACTATTTGACTTTAATGTCACTGAAATACAGGGAGTTCAGTATTTATTTTTGCTTGCTCTTCTATATAATTATGATTGTATTATTGTGTATGTAAATCCTACATCTATTTTTCAATATGCTTGGTATCACATCTCACTTTATACAGTTGGGCAAATTATTTTTATGAAGCTTTTTACCTGGACATCCTGCCAGTGCAGTACTTCCTGTTATTCTCAGACAACACTAAGCCACTGCCACGCAATTAGCAGCAGTGTTGTCAGCTGAGTGATTGGGTTTCTATGCAGCTTACAGTATGCTTACAAACTATCACACTATACAAATTACTTTTATTATCTTCTTTATAAATACACCCCGAAGTGTCTAAACAATTCACAGAGCCATTCAACCTGCAAGCTTCTGTCTCCTCACTTCCTGTTCTGTCTTTTGCACCTCAAATAGACAGGAAGTGGGGAGAAATCTCCCAAATGGGGACACAGTGAACAATAAATACCTGACAGAGATTTTATCCCTTCCACACTCAAACCCTTTTGGCTGGGGTTGGGTTTTAGCTATTAAACGTAACCTCTAAATCATATCCCTAACTACCCCTAACGACACTCTGCCCGACACAGACATCTTGATGCCTAAATCCAGTTATCTGGAAGCAAGAGATTCCTGCCATAGTTTATGTTGCTTCCCCTTTGGGCATTCCATGTAGGGTTGCCACCTTTTCTTCAAGTGAAACCCGAACACTCTAGCGCCGCACGCGGCAATTTTTTTTTTTTTTAATATAGAGGAGATATTATTAACGGTCACAATTAACGATTTAAACAAAAAACTTTGTAAAAAAATGTGTTTCCTCGATAATACTGGTCTGTGCGCAAGTGTAGATGCTGAGGTCGGCAAATTCGACTACGTTGGCGTTCCCGACAGAACACCGGTGTCTGCGCTTAGTATCGGGGCATTAGTATGAGTACTCGTGAAAATGCCCAGTATCGTCATCATACATCAATACAGAATACCACCAGCTATGCGGGACTACAAGTCCCAGCAATACATTATAATAAGTCAGCTATACAGAATACCACCAGCATCCGCCCCATTATAATGTATGCTATTTGCAATAGCCAATAGCAAACTAGCTATTGCACCCACCCTCTGCTGCTGCCAATCAGCAGAGGGGGACCTAATGTTCTCCATCAGGTCCTCTAGTGATTGACAGCAGCAGAGGGCGGGTGCAATACCTAGTTTGCTATTGCAAAGTGAAATAGCCAATAGGAATCTAGCTATGCATTCCTATGGTGGTTTTTGTTTTTTTTAATTCTGATGGCGTACGCAAGTGGTTCTCAACCTGTGGGGTCGCTGTGTGATTTCTGCTGTGCTAGGTGAGAGTCCTCCTCAGCCCTCTCCTAGCTCAGCAGTGTCAGTTCTCCCGCCACGCCGCCAGATGTCGCTGCGGCAGCCGCGGCATCCCTAAATTTTACCATTGGGGGTCACCACAACTTGGCAAATGTTACCAAGGGGTCCCGGCCCTAGAAAGGCTGAGAACTACTGCTTTAGGTGATCAGAATTTTCTACCATCTATTAAAATTCAGGTATCAGTTTAGGCAGACTGGTCGTTTAATAGGGTTCTATCTTATTATGTTTGGGAAGGAAGAAAGGGAGGGAGAGAGGAAGAAAGGTAGAGAGGGAGATTAGCAAGGGAGGAAGGAAGGTAGAGAGGGAGATTAGCAAGGGAGGAAGGAAGGGAGGGAGGAAGATTGGAAGGGAGGGAGAGAGGAAGGAAGGTGGAGAGGGAGATTAGCGAGGGAGGAAGGAAGGGAGGGAGGAAGATTGGAAGGGAGGGAGAGAGGAAGGAAGGTAGAGAGGGAGATTAGCGAGGGAGGAAGGAAGGGAGGGAGGGAGGAAGATTGGAAGGGAGGGAGAGAGGAAGGAAGGTAGAGAGAGAGATTAGCAAGGGAGTGAGGAAGGAAGAAGGGAGGGAGAAGGTAAGCAAGGAAGGGACAAGGAAGGAAGGAAGAGAGAGAGAGGGGAGGAAGGAAGAAGGAAGGGAGAAGGAAGGAAGAGAGGGGGTAGGAAGAAAAGGAGTGATGGAAAAGAAAGGGAGGAAGAAAATCCAAGTCTTCTTTCAAGCTGAACTCATGCAAAAAAGTTAAATGCACAGATAAAACACATGTATTA